ATCGCATCCCCATTGGTAGAGGTGAGGCCCAATGGGAGGTGTTTGGGTCATGGGAGTGAATCCCTCATGAATGGCTTGGTGCAGTGAGTTCTTGCTCTGAGTTCTCTGCAGTGAGTTTACTTAGTGCAGTGAATTCTCACTCTGATTGTTAAAAAGACAGTTGCCCCCCCTCCTCCGCCTCTCCGCCCCAGCTTCCTCGCTGCCCACGTGATCTCTGCACACACTGGCTCTCCATCTTCCACCACGGAAGCAGCCTGAGGCTTTCCCCAGATGCCCAGTTTTCCAGCCAGCAGAACTATAAGCTAAACAAACCTCTTTTATTTTAAAGTACCTATCCTCAGATATTTCCTTATAGCAACACTAAATGGAAGACAGAACTCCTTTACACTCTTAAATATTATTAAGGATGGAGGGATAGGAATTACAAAGTAGTACAGGAATCGGCTAGGAGTAATGAATACGCTCATTACCTTGATTGTGGTAATGGATAACAGTTAAATTATATGTGTCATCTTGGCTGGGCTGTGGTGCTGACTGTTTTGGTCAATCACTAATCTAGATGTTGCTGCAAAGGTACTTTGTAAATGTGATTAGCATATACAAACAATTGACTTTAAGTAAAGGAAGATTACCCTCAATGATGTAGGTGAGCTTCATCCAATCAGTTGAAGAATTCACAAACAAAAACTGAGATTTCCTAGAGAAGAAATTCTGCCTCAAGAATGTAACAGAGCTTCCTGAGACATTCTGCTGGCCTGCCCTATAGATCTCAAACACAAGACTACCGCATCAACTCTTGTCTGGGTTTCCAGCCTCCTTGCCTTCCCTACAAATTTTGGACTTGCCAGCCCCCACCATGGCATGAGCCAATTTTTAAAAATAATCTCTTTTTTAAAATAATCACACACATATCCTATTGGTTCTGTTTCTCTGGAGAAATCTGGTAAAGATGAATTCACAAATGTATACACATGCAAAAATTGGTACTGAGGAATTTTTAAATATTTAATATTTAATGTTAATTTTTATCAATATTTATGTATATTGTGTATATATTTTTAAAAGAGCTATATTTTCCAAAACAAAAAATATTGGCCAGGCGTGGCGGCTCACATCTGTAATCCTAGCACTTTGGGAGGCTGAGGCGGGTGGATCACGAGGTCAGGAGTTCGAGACCAGCCTGGCCAACATAGTGAAACCCCATCTCTACTAAAAATGCAAAAATTAGCCAGGCATGGTGGCACATGCCTGTAGTTCCAGCTACTCGGAAGCCTGAGGTAAGAGAATCACTTGAACCTGGGAGGCAGAGGTTCTGGTGAGCCAAGATTGCACCACTGCACTCCAGCCTGGGCAACAGAGCAAGACCCCATCTCAAAAAATATATATATGTTAAATATATATTTATTATATATTAAATTATATAGTATATATTATATATTAAATTAAAAATATTAAACAGTCCCACTCTTACATATATACATATATATACACGTATATATATAAGTGTGTCCTATATGACTCCACAGGGAGAGGACTCATGGAAGCTTGTGCTTGGTTTCCTCCAGTCTCCACCTTATGTAACCTTTTCCATGTTGATTTTGCTTTGTATTCTTCACTGTAATAAATATAGCTATGGGTACAACTGTATGCTGAGTTCTGTGAATCCTCCTAGCAAGTCATCAAATCTTACATACATACATATATATATATATATATATATATATATATGAGTGGGACTGTTTAATATTTTTACAAATCTCTTTAATATCTGGCTTAAAAGAAAACAGCTGGACTCATCTGCTTCTGCATTCAATGTGTCACAATATACTGTTTTGGATGAAGTATGTGAAGCATATGAAGAATATCTGGCCTCAATCAGATATATAGTTGGAAAGGGGAGGGGTATTATAATAGTCCTTTCAGCCTATTCTTTGATAACACACCAAAACTTGGCAAGTGGTGGTTTCTTATACAGTTACAATGTAGAATCTGGAACCATATCAACAAACTTTCAGACACTAATGAAATCGACTGATCTATCTTGATTTTCAAGAGGATCATTTAGCTACATATTATTTTGTCATATCACATACTGGTCTTCACAAAATATTGAGGCTGAATATGGTGGCTCACACCTACAATCCCAGCACTTTGGAAGGCCTAAGCGGGAGGATCACTTCAGGCCAGGAGTTCAAGACCAGCCCGGGAAACAAAGCGAGACCGTCTCTACAAAAAATAAAAATAAGGCCAGGCAGGTGCAATGGCTCACACCTGTAATTCCAGCACTTTGGGAGGGCAAGGCGGGAGGATTGCTTGAGCTCAGGAATTTGAAATCAGCCTGGGCAACATAGTGAAACCCTGTCTCTACAAAAAAACACAAAAAATAGCCAGGCATGGTGGCCTGTGTCTGTAGTCCCAGCTACTCCAGAAGCTGAGGTGGGGGATCACTTGAGCCCCAGAGGGAGGCTACAGTCAGCCGAGATCGCACCACTGCAGTCCAGCCTGGGTGACAGAGTGAGACCCTGTCTCAAAAAATTAAAAATAAAAATAAATTAGCCTAGCTTGGTGGTACATGCCTGTAATACCAGCTACTCAGGAGACTGAGGTAGGAGGACTGCTTGAGCCTGGGAGGTTGAGGCTGCAGTAAGATAGGATCATGCCACTGCACTCTAGCCTAGGCAACAGAGCAAAACTCTGCTCAAAAAAAAAGAGGAGAAGAAAAGAAAATACCGATTCAGCCGGGCGCGGTGGCTCAAGCCTGTAATCCCAGCACTTTGGGAGGCCGAGACGGGTGGATCACGAGGTCAGGAGATCGAGATCATCCTGGCTAACATGGTGAAACCCCGTCTCTACTAAGAAATACAAAAAATTAGCCGGGCGAGGTGGCGGGCGCCTGTAGTCCCAGCTACTCGGAGGCTGAGGCCGGAGAATGGCGGGAACCCGGGAGGCGGAGCTTGCAGTGAGCCGAGATCGCGCCACTGCACTCCAGCCTGGGCGACAAAGCAAGACTCCGTCTCAAAAAAAAAAAAAAAAAGAAAAGAAAATACCGATTCACAGTTATGCAGTCCTTCCAAGTACTGACATATTTCATCATATAATATAAAGACAATCATATTGATTAACATCAATCAACAATCCAATCAGAAATGCCTTTCTTTACTTTTCTTTTCTTTTTTTTTTTTCTTCAGATAGGGTCATACTCTGTCGCCCAGGCCGGATGGAGTTCAGTGCCACAATCTTGGCTCAAAGCAGCCTCCACCTCCTCCCACCTCAGCTTCCCAAGTAGCACCATACCCAGCTAACTTTTGTGTCTTTTGTAGAGACAGGGTTTTGCCACATTGCCAAGGCTGGTATCGAACTCCTGGGCTCAAGAGATCCTCCGACCTTGGCCTCCCAATGCTGGGATTACAGGCATGAGCCACCATGTCCAGCCTTAGAAAGCTTTTAAATATTAGGGAAATGTCAAGCTCATGGTAAAATACAAATTTTCCAAAATTCTAATTTTTGCTTAAGCTCAAATTTTATTGTTGCTAACAAACAGTGTCAGTTGTTTTCCTTAAAATAACAGGTTCACATCATCCATTCTCAAGAAAACATCTTCCAAATACCCAAGTCTGGATAAACATAATTTTTCTGCAGTTATTTTTATAAAAATAAAAATGCTGTTCCACATAAAAAAGTAGCAGATTCACCTTGCAAATGACTTTCCTTAAGACAACCATCATACTTCAGTACATAGCAAGAATGCTACATGATACTTCCCATTTTGACAATATTCAAAAGACATGCACTAAATGGTCAAAATTTACTAAAATTAATCATTTTACTGCATCATAAAAAAAACTTCAATTGAAACGGCACTTTTTTCTTTTTTGTTGCAAGCACATGGCAGAAAAGAATGCAATGATTACTATAATAGTTTGTGGCCACTGCCTTGTTTTGCACCAAGGCACCAGCAGTTTTAGCCTGCAGCTGCTTTTGTATCATCAGTACAAATATTAACAGGGTGAAAGGGATAATAACGTCGTGGTATTATTGTAAAAGCTGTTTGGATCTCATAGACCACCTGCAAGGCTCTCAGAGCCCTCCAGAGGCCCACAACCAAACTTTGACAACTGCTGTTCTAAATAAATACTCTTAGGTGCTGAAATGATAAGAGGGACATCAATGGCTCCACAAGCTGCATAAGGTGAAGCAATCGTGATCAGAAATGAAAAGCCAAGGAACTTGCCTTGAAGATGCATTTGCATGGCAAGCTCATTTTTATTTATGTATGTCTATTAGAAGGGATAAATTTATATGTAACTGGGCAATAATCAGTGAAATTTTACATATCATTCTGATTATGGGAATAACTAAAGTTATTTCTGATTTATCATGGCTATTCCATATAATATGGGCTTATTATTAAGTGGCTTCAGAGTCAAATTTCTAAACTAATTTCTAAAAACTAAATGTAGTAATTAACATTTCTTCAATATAAAATTAAGCAGAAACAGTTGCTAATTTTTTTAATAGCCTACTTTCAGTGTAAACACTGCTAAACAATGAAAGGTAGTCATTTAACTTATAAGGCCATAAATTTTAATTCAAGTGAAATTTACCATGTATGATATTGGGACAAATGTTTATAATCGCTGTATCTTCTGATGTTAACATTTAGGCCATTGAAAGACACACTAGAGGAGAATAATACAGATGTTCAAAATGCAATATTCATTAACAACGCTTTTCAATTAAAAAAAAAAATTGTCCCCTGATGGAATCATGAAGCGTGTCAATTATAAGCAAAACAAACCCCAAAAATGTTGATTTAGGAACTGTTTAAAATAAGACAGCATGTATACTAATAATACTTACAGAATAAACCATTTTTAAGCTATACTTAAATTCTAGTTATTAAGTCATATATCCTGGTAACTCATGTTATAAAATTACATTTCAATTCATACAACTTAAATTTTATAAAACCGAAATGATAACAAGGAAGGTTGACTTACTCGATCTGCTAATCCTCCAGGAACTATAGTCCTCACAACCACGCCACTTGTTTTTCCTCCAACTATACCAAAACCTAGTCCGGAGCCATCATTAATGAGCTCAACCTCTTCAACATGGCCCCAGCAAACCTACAAATTAATGGCACATAAGAGTCACAGGATCAGTAATACTCACAGATTCTTTGTTTTCCAATACAATCATTACCAAAGTAACATTGCAACAAATTGAACATTCATAGAATTAATCAAGGCAATGTTCTACAGGCTAAGACATACAGACAGAGATAATCATATGGTCCCTGACCGTAAGGATCTTATAATCCAGTACAGAGAAAGTAAAACACAAATAATTAAAATACAAGGCAGAATATTGGATCATAAGGCACTAGCCCTAAGAGCACAGGAAACATTTCTCACTCCTCACTCTACACTGGATATCCAGCACAGTGCCCAGCACATAGTAGGGACCAGTAAATACGTGTCTGCTTGAAAGAGAATCACAAAATATTATAAAGACTTTTTACAGGGAAGGAAGAACATGAAGTCAAAACCAATGAAGAATTACAGAAAACTTCAAGGAAAAGGGGCATTTAAGTTGCACTACAAAGGAAGACATTCAAGCAAAAAGAAAATATAAGGGCAAAGCTAGGCCAGATAACACAATGGATGAAAGATATGGTCAAAAGGTTGGATTTAACTGGGTAATCAAGTGGAAGTTGTTAAAGGTTTTAGAAGAGAAATGACAGAACCAAAGAAGTGGTTTAAGAAAATTCATCTGGCAGCAATGAGAAGAATCTAAAATGGTGGTAGGACACAAAGTGGAGAGACTAATTTAGGAGACTCTTATGAGGGAGAGGAAAGGTAGGCCCCACTGAAGATATTAGCAATAGGACTATACAAATTAGACTAAAAGACATAAGCATTTCCCCTCTAACTAGCAGGTTTCTATGAGAAATGGGCATTACTTCACATAATCCAACTGCAGAACAATATCCTCCCTCTCAAGATCATTAGGGCATACTCATTACTTAGTTTGTCCTTCTTTCTTTCCTCCCTCCCTCCCTCCCTCCCCCTCCCTCCTTTCCTTCCTTCCTTCCTTTCTTCCTTCCTTCCTTCCTTCCTTCCTTCCTTCCCTCCCTCCCTCCCTCCCTCCCTCCTTCCTTCCTTCCTTCCTTTTTGTTAGAGACAAGGTCTCACTCTGTTACCCAGGTTAGAGTGCAATGCATGACAAGAGCTCATGTCAGCCTCAAACTCCTGGGATCATCCATCCTCTAACCTCAGCCTCCCAAATAGCTGGGACTACAGGCATGTACCACCATGCCCAGCTAATTTTTTAATCTTTTGTCGAGGTGGGATGTTTTTGTTTTTTGTTTTTTTGAGACAGAGCCTTACTCTGTCACCCAGGCAGGAGTGCAGTGGCATAATCTCAGCTCACTGCAACCTCCACCTGCCAGGTTCAAGCAATTCTCCTGCCTCAGCCTCCTGACTAGCTGGGATTACAAGCATGTGCCACCACACTCGGCTAATTTTTATATTTTTAGTAGAGACAGGGTTTCACCATGTGGACCAGGCTGGTCTCGAACTCCTGACCTCAGGTGATCCACCCACCTTGGCCTCCCAAAGTGTTGGGATTACAGGCATGAGTCACTGTGCCTGGCCATAGTGGTGGGGTTTGACTAGGTTCCTCAGGCTGGTCTCAAACTCCTGGTCTCAAGCGACCCTCCTGCCTAGGCCTCCCAGAGTTCTGGGATTACAGGTGTGAACCATCATACCCATCCAGTTTTTCTATTATACTAAATTGCAAAGTTACTATGTAGTCTTAAATAAAAAGCATTATTGGAGGGCTGGGTGCAGTGACTAAAGCCTGTAATCCCAGCACTTTGGAAAGCCAAGGTGGGCAGATCACAAGGTCAGGAGTTTGAGACAAGCCTGGCCAACATGGTGAGACCCCATCTCTACTAAAAGTATGAAAAAGTTAGCTGGGTATGTTGGCATGTGCCTGTAATCCCCAGCTACTTAGGAAGCTGAGGCAGGAGAATCACTTGAACCGGGGAGGCAGAGGTTGCAGTGAGCCAAGATCACGCCACTGCACTCCAGCTTGGGTGACAAAGCAAGAATCCATCTCAAAAAAAAAAAAAGGTAATATTGAGATTAATAAATTGATGTCTAGAACATCTACTATCTGGGAAACAAGAAAGTTTGCTAAAATAATATGCCTGACTTAATATTAGCTGATAGCAGCCAATATTCACAGAACATGTATGCAGCACCAGGCATGGTGCTTAGTGCTTCACATGCCTTCTCATTCAGCCTCACAACATCTCTGAGAACTAGACATCATACCTTCAAAGGAAGGTATGAGGTAAAGGAATCTGCCTGGTGTGACACCACTAGGATATGGGAGAAATGGACTTGAATGCATCCAAGCCTAACTCCAAAGCCCTTGTTCTTTATACGTTAAACAATTCCCCACTTTATTCACTGTATTTATTATGTAAATTCTGCTGTACAAATATTGCTGATTACAATAGGGAAAATGCTTATACATTAATTTTTGTTGTGACCTTGTATTGTATCGAGACAGTCTTATTTTTTCTTTTGTCCCAATGAATAAAAATTAAATAAGTCAGCTAGCACTTAGTGTTATAAGAAAATAAGATTTATTAGTTTGCATTCTGACAATGCAAGCCAAAATCTGTAAAATGTTAAAAAGCAAGTTCAAGGGTTCCCAAAAGAGACATATACTTTTATTCTTTAAAATTGTTCCGTATGTGTCTTTACATGAAAAAAAGCCTGCTATAATTTTGCAATATCAATAATCTGGTCATAAATCCCCTCATAATTTTCAAAAATAATATTTTTCAAATAAATAATCAAATCTTACTTTAAACACTCAACAGTAAATCTCTAACAAAAACTCTCAATTAATTGGCTACATCACCAAGGAACACAAGACTCTCCATCACTAAATAAATTACACCTAATACTTCAATTTGGCCTCCATATTAAATAATAATCTTAAACAAAGAGACCCACAGGACATTGAAAAGAGAAAAAAAAAAAACCTTCATGAAACATCTTGTTTAAACATGTTAATGCTGCACTCAGAGATATGATCATCTTTTTTAACTATGAAAAGTAAAATGGGCCAGGCACAGTGGCTCACACCTGTAATCCTAGCACTTTGAGAGTCTGAGGCAGGTGGATCACCTGAGGGCAGGAGTTCAAGACCAGCCTGGCCAACATGATGAAACCCCATCTCTACTAAAAATACAAAAAAAAAAAAATAACAGAGAGTGATGGTGGGCACCTGTAGTCTCAGCTACTTGGGAGGCTGAGGCAGGAGAATCACTTGAATCCAGGAGGCGGAGGTTGCAGTGAGCCAGCATCTGGCCACTGCACTATATAGCCTGGGCAACTAGAGCGAAACTCCATCTCAAAAAAAAAAAAAAAAGAAAAAGAAAAGAAAAGAAAAGTAAAACGACACCTTCTAAATGTCTTTACACTTCTTACAATCAATGGCATTATTCAAAATTAGGTATTTTTTCAAATTTGCAACTCACTGTTTCAGGCAGAGTTGTATCAGTTAGGCTGCTAGAAGCACTGCTTTTTGTGTGGATTGGTTCCCTGGCCACAATCAGTTGCAAAGATCCAGTGGTTTGTTGTAATAATGCAATTGCTTGCTGATGGGAAATGTTCTGATCCAATGGTGTGTGATTAACGGCCAATATTTGATCATTTTCCTTTAATCTTTGATCCCTTAATCATGTAAGAAAAGAAATTTTTGTTTTAAGTGACCTAATAACCTGATTTTAAAAAATCTATTATTCAAGTTAAGCAGTTTGTACACTTAGTACATTTATCAAATAATTATTTAATTATATAACAGAGCTCCTCAGAGTGTTTTTCACAGAAGTTATTAACTAATTACCTAATTTGGTAGTGCATCCTTAAACACATGGACACATTTTAAAAGCCATCTACCTAGAAAAATAAACAAAAACAATCTACAGGACCCCATCGCCAAGGTTTTGCAAGTATGGACACTGCCTCCATTACTGCATAAACCCAAACCTCCTGAACCCCTTTCCAATCTGATCTCTACCCATACCACACTGGGGTAAAGATATTTTCAACTACACCAATAACCTCCTCTCACCCCATCTTCACTGTCTACTTGTCCAACATTTATCAACAGAAGCCAAACCCTCCTTGAAAATTCATAGAGATTACTTCCAAATTTATATCTGAGCATGGGCTCACTCTTATTTGCCCAGGCTGGAGTGCAATGGCACAATCGCAGCTCACTGCAGCCTCAGGCTCCCAGGCTCGGGTGATTCTCCCACCTCAGTCTCACGAGTAGCTGAGATTACAGGTGTATACTACCACGCCTAGCTAATTTTTGTATTTTTTGTAGAGATGGGGTTTGCCATGTTGCCCAGGCTTCTCTTGAACTCCCAAAGTGCTGGGATTACAGCCATGAGCCACTGAGCTCAGCCAATCTGAGCCCTTGTAATCTCTCCCAAGCACCAATCTCCCAACTGCTAACCAGGATAAGAAGATTCTTTTTAAAAGAAATTAGCAAAATCTCTAAAGAAAAATAGTATTTACTGAGCACTTATCATGAGTCAGGTACTATGTTGAGTGCTTTACATGCATTATCTCACATAATCCTCACAATTTCCTTTTAAAGTACTTAGTAAATTTTACATATTAAGGAATTGAAGTCTAGACAAGCCTAGCATCCTATCAAGAGTCAGATTCTGAAGCACAGTCTTGAACTTCTTATGCCAAAGTGCATCCTAAAGATAGCCTAGGACTTACTCTGTCCTGGTTTACTGTATTTGATTTTATTATCTCCCAAACATCACTGATACTCTTCCTCTTCCTGTTTACCCATTCTCACCACAATTCTTGAAGAAATGCTGCATTAGATGTCAGAATAAAGATGCAAAGTCATGGAAACTTATTAAGTTTGAAATCTGAGTTGGGGAGACTAGAATTAATCCCCCATGAATGGAGAATGTGAATTCAAAAATGTATTATCGACTAATAATTTTATAATAATATACTGCCATTGTTGCTATTATTCTAACACGTGCATTGGAATAGCATACTTATTAAATGAATAATAAACCAAAGACTGGAAATCATACAGAGACAAAATAAAAGGCTTGCAAATACCCCTTAAAACATAAAAGCAAATACAACATGGAAGATAACATAGACTTGAGAGGCCTCTTAATTGACAATAAGCATAATAAATCAGGTAGAGTGACATGACCACCAAAATGTTGTTATAATCTTAAGAATAATAAACAATATAATATGCAGAATGAGAACTTCAATATTCCTATCCTACTGATCAGTCCGTAGCTAAAACATCATGTTCAACTGTAAGAGAGGGAAATAGTGTACTAGCTTTGCAGTCAGACGGTCTTGGAATCACATCATGGCTTCAGCATTAACAGCTCTGTGACTATAGGTTGACCACTGAATCTCTGAATCTCAGCTTTCTCATCAATAGAACGGAATGATGATACCTATATAGTGGAACTGCTGCCATGGGGTACAGGAGGATATTCACAAAAGGCCTGACAAATGCACAGCAAAAACTAAAGCAAGTGTTAGCTGCTATTGTTACTGTTTTTATGATTAGTTTTTCACTCTCTTTATAATAGTCGTCAGAATTATCAGGAAACAATTAGCAAAGTGAAAATAAACAGCTTCCCCACCTGTCTGCTACACTCCCTGGCTGGACATCCTTCACGAAGATATCAACTTTCCCCATATTTTGACTTCTGAGGGCCACCACACTGAATCCAAGGCCTCCAGTTGAAGGCCGTTCTATATCTATATATTCAATTTGCCGGCCCTAATGAAGGAGCGTTAAAAAAAAAAAAAAAAAAAAAGTCAATGGTGTACATTTAACCAACATACTCTGTCTGCAGAACTGAAATTGCTTGGCATAAAAGCAGCTTCCCCTAAGAACCACATAAACTCAGCATTTCAGTAATAAATTATTTCTGGAAATCCTCTCACTTGATTATTTCAGTAGAGCATAAGAGAGAGTGTGTGCAGTGTTCTGCAACCTCAGGGAATCGGAGGTATTTTCACACTTCATTCACATTATGAGATGAATCCCAAGCTGGATGGAAACTCCCGAGAAAAATGCCTTTTCCCATAGTAAATTCTGAATTACTTTTTTACACTGAACTTCCCTAAATTCTCTTGATGCAAAGTACATTTTTATTTTATTTTTTTCTGAGACAGCGTCTCGCTCTGTCGCCCAGGCTGGAGTGCAGTGGCATGATCTCAGCTCACTTCAACCTCTGTCTTCTGGGCTCAAGTGATCCTCCTGCCTCAGCCTCCTGGGTAGCTGGGACTATAGGCATGCACCACCAAGCCTGGCAAATTTTTGTATTTTTTGTAGAGACGGGGTTTCGCCATGTTGCCCAGTCTGGTCTCAAACTCCTGAGCTCAAGCAATCCACCTGCCTCAGCCTCCCAAATTGCTGGGATTACAGATGTGAGCCACAGTGCTCAGTTGCAAAATATATTTTTAAATGAGGAAAATAAATTAGATATATCAAAAATGCCAATATTTAGCCTAAGTCAGAACCAGCTGCATTTTACAGGGCTCTGTTTTTAATTCTATTGTTGATTAATTGATATTCTATTTATTAGGTAAGTTCAAAAGACTCTGAAAAGGCCACCATTTACATGGGTTCTACCTGTAAGAACAGATAGAACTGTCCTTGTGACAGCCAGGTATTTTATTGCTTTAGTTAATAACTGCACTTATAACATGAGAACTTCACAAATGTAATCAACTAAAAACAGCACCACATAAAAATAATTGTTAGTCAGACGAAAGGGATAGAAGTGGCCAGGTTGGCCGGGCGCGGTGGCTCAAGCCTGTAATCCCAGCACTTTGGGAGGCCGAGACGGGCGGATCACAAGGTCAGGAGATCGAGACCATCCTGGCTCACACGGTGAAACCCCATCTCTACTAAAAAATACAAAAAACTAGCCGGGCGAGGTGGCGGGCGCCTGTAGTCCCAGCTACTCGGGAGGCTGAGGCAGGAGAATGGCATGAACCCGGGAGGCGGAGCTTGCAGTGAGCTGAGATCCAGCCACTGCACTCCAGTCTGGGCGACAAAGCGAGACTCCGTCTCGGAAAAAAAAAAAAAAAAAAAAAAAGAAATGGCCAGGCATGATGCTCATGCCTGTAATCCCAGCACTTCGGGAGGCCGAGGCGGGAGGATCACGAGGTCAGGAGATCAAGACTATCCTGGCCAACGTGGTGAAACCCTGTCTCTACTAAAAATACAAAAATTAGCCAGGCGTGGTGACATGCGCCTGTAGTCCCAGCTACTCAGGAGGCTGAGGCAGGAGAATTGCTTGAACCTGGGAGGCAGAGGTTGCAATGAGCCAAGATTGCACCACTGCACTCCAGCCTGGGCGACAGCGCAGAAAAAAAGAAAGGGATAGAACTATAAAGTCAAAAACTAGGACCAGAATATTATTTAATTATCACACCCTGAACAGATTCTATTTAACACTGAAACTCAAGTTTGTTTATTTATTTATTTTTTAAGAGCTAGGTCTTGGCTCTGTCGCCCAGGCTGGAGTTTGGTCATGCAATCATAGCTCACTATAGCTTTGAATTTCTGGGCTCAAGTGATCCGCCCACATCAGCCTTCCAGGTACCTGGAGCTACAGGTGAGTGCCACTATGTCTGACTATATTCTTATTTTCATTTTTGTAGAGATGGGGGTCTCTCTATGTTACCCAGCCTGGTCTTAAACTCCTGGCTTCAAGCAATCCTCCTGCCTCTGCCTCCCAAAGATTACAGAAAAAAGCTACCACGCTCAAACCTCGCTTCATTTTTAATGGCACTTGAAGGTCAAGGTGAACATACATAAAACTAACATGTCCAAAATTTTAATTGTTTATTTAATTTTTAATAGGTATTAGGGGCTACAACTGGACTATCCTTCCAAATGTTTTCTAGATTTTCCAAATTATATTAGTTCTAATTTTCATTAATCATGGGTTTTTCTTTTTTTTTTTGTTTTTTGAGACAGAGTCTTGCTCTGTCACCCAGGCTGGAGTACGGTGGCACAATCTCGGCTCACTGCAACCTCCGTCTCCCGGGTTCAAGCAATTCTCCTGCCTCAGCCTCCTGAGTATCTGGGATTACAGTTGCCCACCACCACGCCCAGCTAATTTTTCTATTTTTAGTAGAGACAGCGTTTTGCCGTGTTGACCAGGCTGGTCTCAAACTCCTGACCTCCAGTGATCTGCCCGCCTCGGCCTCCCAAAGTGATGCGATTACAGGTGGGAGCCGGTGCGCCTGGCCAAAAATCTTATTTTAACAACAATAGAGATGCATTCAATTAGTCATTGTCGAAAAACTCTCCTTAGCAAGATCTTATCTCAAAAAATAAATGTTAATTTTTTTTTAAAAAAAACTCTCCTTACCACACACGGATACCTTCCTTATGTAATTTTAAGCCAATAAATTTTCAACACACAGGTTAGAAAATGGTGTCAGTTCCTTCTAACAATATAAAAATACAAGCAAGCAAAATACATACTAACACATCTTACAGCAAAAAGAATGAGTATAAGTTCCTTTGTAAAACTAAAACAGGAGAAATGAAGCTAAATATTTCCATGAGAAGATACAACTTTACCTGAGCCATCTGTTGAATGACTGAGTTAAAGTCTTCATTTCCCAACTTCGGGGTCCAAGGAAATAACCCAGATACAGTGGAGTTATTAGAGGGCCTGTGGACATTTCCATTAGCAATGGAACCATCTGTGAACACTAACAAACCTTTCCTAGAAAAATCAAAGTGGGCTGAACAATCTGAGGGTATATGGTTGAGCTGTTGGAGAGAAAAAAGAATCATCAACAGAAATCTATAGAAAAACTGTTTCTAGTTATTAAATATATTTTGACCATTACATGGATAATTTGCACATTAAATATATACATGGGAAAGAAATAAGGTAAAGACAGATCAATCTGTGTATTCACAAGGCTAGAAATTTTTTTAATTTAGTATTACACAAAATGTTTAATAGTTTAAAATTTGTTCTTATTTCCTGCCTTCTACCACTACTTTGTACACTGACATCTTATTACACTTCACATATACAGATGCATCCAGTCATATAACAGTGTAAGGTACTAAACCTTTTTCCATTTATCTATACATTTCCATGTGGGGAACCACAAAAGATCCACAGGTAGTACGTAATGATAATAATAACTGTACTTATTGAGTGCTTGCTATGAGTAAATACTGTACCAGGATGATTACAGGTATTATCACTTAATTCTTACAACAGTCTGATATCATTATCCCATTTTGTGAGCATAAAAACTAAGGCACACAAGGGCTAAGTAACTTACTCAAGATTAGCAGTAAGTGACTCGTGGAGCCACTTAAACATTGGTAGAAAGAGGAGAATCATGTAATTATGGTGGACATAATTTAAAATATCATTGGTTGATACAACTGCCAAAACAGTAGAATAACGGTAACATTAAGAATAAATGTCAGTGGTGAAACCCCATCTCTATCAAAAACACAAAAATTAAATGGGCATGGTGGTGCACACTTGTAATTCCAAGTTACTTGGGAGGCTGAGGCAGGAGAATCGCTTGAACCCCACGGGTGGAGGCTACTGTGAGCCGAGATTGCACCACTGCACTCAGCCTGGATGATAGAGCGAGACTCTGTCTCCAAAAAAAAAAAAAAAAGAATAAATGTTAGGCCAGGTGTGATGGTTCATACCTGTAATCCCAGCACTTGGGGAGATCAAGGTGGGAGGACCACTTCAGGCCAGGAGTTCAAGACCTGGGCAACATAGTGAGACCCTCGTCTCAACAAAAAATACAAAAATTAGCTGGGCATGGTGTCACATGCCTGTAGTCCCAGCTACTTGGGAGGATGAAGTGGGAGGATTGCTTGAGCCCAGGAGGTCGAGGTTACAATGATCCATGATCACACCACTGTACTCTAGCCCAGGCAAAGACTCTGTCTCAAAAAAAAAAAAAAAAAAAGACTGTTAATAAAACCTCAGAGAATGCCAGGCGCGGTGGCTCACGCCTGTAATCCCAGCACTTTGGGAGGCCGAGGCGGGCGGATCACGAGCTCAGGAGATCGAGACCATTCTGGCTAACACGGTGAAACCCCATCTCTACTAAAAACCCACAAAAAAAATTAGCCAGGCGTGGTGGTGCGTGCCTGTAGTCCCAGCTACTCGGAGGTTGAGGCAGGAGAACGGCGTGAACCCAGGAGGCGGAGCTTGCAGTGAGCTGAGATGGTGCCACTGCACTCCAGCCTGGGCGACAAAGCGAGACACCGTCTCAAAAAAAAAAAAAAAAAAAAAACCTCAGAGAAAAAATTTTAAAAATCCCTGGCTACAGGGATTACACAGTCCAATGCATAAAATATGACTGTGCATATAACAACCGCAAACTATACAAATATAAAGAATTGCTATTAGGATAGGGTAGTTAGTTACATCCACTCTTAGTCCAATAAGTGTGATAGATTTCTGCTGATCTTTGCCAATTTCAGTTGCTACCAACAGCATTCACTATTGTGATATTCTATGACCAAGAGAAATACAGAAAGCTAAACATCAATATAGGCAGTGCTAAAATTAGGGTATAAATTCTGGTCTAAAGAAAGCAATTCACAGAAAGACACACGTGTAGAGTTTAATTCTTAACTGGCTATAAACAAATCACTCACAAAAGACTTAATGGGCAAGCATTTTAGTTTATCAGCAAAAACCATTTTTTCCCAAATTTTGTAAATTTTCACTTAACTGTGATAAATTAGATCCAATTATGTTTTAAATTCTGCCCAAATTTCATCTATAGTATAGCTACTATTCAAGTTCAGCTTCCAGAATAGGTGATTTAAAAATAATTTGCCAACCCTGACCCCAAAACAAAGAATCCAAGAAGAGAGTTAAAACAATTTCTGGTTCGATCTCAGCATCAAAGAAACAAACAAACAAACAAAAAAATCCCACAACTATTAATTTGCACTCCTCTAAGAAGAGGTGATATGTGTCCCTTACTCAATAATGATGTATTAGAGCCTGCAGAGTCCAGATAGTGTGGTAAATGAGTAGAGGAAACACAATTATACATTTAAATACCAGGTATCCTGCTTCCAAGGAACTTTTCATCAGAATATGCATGAAAGACAATAAATATTTGATAATTAAGAGAAGCGTGACTATTGTGCTATAAGGGCATGATCACTTCTTGTTAGATAAAAGACTTCGGCCGGCCGGGCGAGTTGGCCCAGGCCAGGCCAGGCGAGGTGGCTCATGCCAGTAATCCCAGCACTTTGGGAGGCTGAGGTGGGCGGATCACGAGGTCAGGAGATAGAGACCACCTTGGCTAACACGGTGAAACCCCATCTCTACTTAAAAAAAAAAAAAGACTTCACAAAGAAAATACGCCTGGGCAAGGTGGCTCATGCCTATATTCCCAGCACTTTGGAAGGCTGAGGTAGGAGGACTGCTTGAGGCCAATAGTATGAGACCAGCCTGGGCAACACAGGGAGACCCTGTCTCTATAAAAATCTTAAAAAATTAGCCCAACTGTGGTGGCACACACCTATCCCAGCTACTCTGGAAGCTGAGGTGGGAACATTGCTTGAGCGTGGGAGGTCAAGGCTGCAAAGAGCTAGGATCACAGCACTGCATTCCAGCCTCAGTGACAGAGAGAAACCTTGTCTCAAAATGAAAAGAAAATATATTTAAGTTAAGCACTATTTTATAATTTTGAAGATGTTGAGAATTCTCAAAGCATCTGACCTTTACATATTTAAATAAGTACAAAAACCATATTCTAAAACCAAACACAATTTTTTTTTTTTTTTTTTTTTTTGAGAAACAGGGTCTCAACTCTGTCATCCAGGCTGGAATGAAGTGGCATGACCATGGCTCACTGCAACCTGGAACCCCTGGGCTCACACAATCCTCCCACCTCAGACTCCTGAGTTGCTGGGACTACCGGTACACACCACCACGCCCAGCTACGAAAGAAAAAATTGATTATCGACGTTTCTAAATTGTCTATGCCAGTGCTACCCACAGGTTATAGGTTACAGGTCCCAATACAGCCTCTTTGCTGAACTGAGTCCTTAAAGATAATTTGTCTTTGTCTATCTCCTCTATCTTTCTTTGATGGTTTGAATATATTAATATAATATATTAACGTAAAACTGATGGGTAACTTACTTGTCCTTTCAGTTGCTTGATGGACTGCTGAAGTGTGAGTATCTGGTTGAAGAGAGGACTCTTTAGTGTCTCATAAAACACAGATAACTTCTCATTCTGCGAAGTGTCACCCTTCTCCTGCAATTTCATTTTCAGGCGATCAAGTACCTGCAGGACCTGCAGTTTATCTTGGGTTAAGATGAATAAGTAGAGTAATAGTTAAGTCCCATCTGAGATTCCATTTCAAAATCATTAATTAATTAAATTATAGAACAATATATCCAGTATACCTGTAGCAGGATTTTCAGGCATTTTGAATTCTTCCCTTCAACCACTCTTAAAAGATACCTAAAGAAAAATTTAAAAATATAAAAGATGAATTTCAATTGTATATGGCTATAATCCTGTAGAAATATTTAGGAAAACCTCAAGAACATTCTTTATCAAGACTCCACTCAGTGAAATTCAAATTATAACCACAATGAGGTACCACTACACACCCATTAAGATAATTAAAATTTAAAAACAGACAATACTAAGCGTCGAGGCTGTAAGTGCCTGGAACTATTGTACATTGCTAAGAGAAATGTAAAATGTCACAACCACTTTGGAAAATTGGTAGTTTCTCATAAAGTTAAAAATATACTTACTATATGACCCAGCACTTCCACTCACAAATATTTACTCAGTATTCATGAAAATATATGCTCACAAAAACACCTGTACATGGAAGTTTACAGCATTTTTATTTATAAAAACCCCAAAACTAGAAAAACCCAAGTGTCTAGAAACAGATGAATAAACAAATAATAGTATATAATATTCAGAAATAAAAAGGAAAAATTACTGATACACACGACAAGGATAAATCTCAAAAATGGTATGTTGAAAAAAGAAACCTGACCCAAAAAAGGCACAAACTGCACTGTATGATTCCATTCATATGAAGTTCAAGTACTGACAAAACTAATCCACAATTATAGATTAATTTACCTGGGGCAGGGTGATAGGGAGTTGACCATGACAGGCTTCAGAACATGCTACTCTCAAAATATGTCATCTTGGCATGTTGCATATTTTAAGCTGAAGGAATCTGAGAAACAGCAGGTGCAGAAAGGACTTCCCCTGAATCAGATCATAGGATCCTCGTGTGAGAGGGGTCCTCTCTATACCCAGAAGATAGCAGCATCTTAATCTCAAAAGACAGAGTGGCTAGGTGCAGTGACTCATGCCTATAATCCCAGCACTTTGGGAGGCTGAGGAAGGAGGATCACTTGCGCCCCAGAGTTTGAGGCCAGCTTGGGCAACACAGAAAGATCCTATCTCTACAAAAAATTTAAAAACTCAGCCACGCATGGTGGCACATACCCGTAGTCCCAGCTGCTTAGGAGGCTGAGGCAGGAGGATCACTTGAGCCCAAGAGGTTGAGACTGCAGTGAGCTATGAGCCACTGCACTCCAGCCTGGGGAAAAGAGTGAGACCCTGTCTCAAAATTTAAAAATGGAAATAGAGGAACACCCAGAGGAATCTGAACAAACAGGCCTTGTTAAGTTTTTCCCAGTTTACTCCTCTTAGCTCATATCCCTTTCTGTCCTATCACATTCCACAACTCTTCCTTCTTCATCAAACCTAACTTAAAAACACTCAGGTTTTACTGTTTCTTCGGGTCTTCATTTCCTTATGAAGGCTCCCATGTCACGTAAAACTTATATTAAACAAGTTTACATGTTTTTCTCTTGTTAATCTACCTTTTATTACAGGGGCCCCAACCGAAAACTTGGAAGGGTAGAAGCTAAAGATATTTTCCCTCCCCTACACTGGGAAGGGGTTCAAGGAAGTTTTTTTGGTGTGACAGAAACATTCTGTGTCTTGAAGGGGGTACTGTTTACACAGCTGTATATATTTATCAAAATTTATTGAACCAGGCCAGGCACAGTGGCTCACTGTGATCCCAGCACTTTAGGAGGCCAAGGTGGAAGGATCACTTGAAACCAGGAGTTTGAGATCAGCCTGGGCAACAAAGTGAAACCTCATCTCTACAAAAACAAAAAAAATTAGCCGGTGTAGTGGCTTGTACCTATAATCCCAGCTACACTAGAGATTGAGATGAGAGGATCGCTTGAGCCCAGGAGGTCAAGGTTGCAGTGAGCCATGATCATGCCACTGCACTCTGGCCTGGGTGACAAAGGGAGATCCTATCTCAACAAAAAATAAAAGAAAAATTCCCGAGCTGTACAAATGATCTCAGACTCTTACTAGTCATCTATAGCTCAAAAGAAATTACAGGTATGCTGCGGCTCACACCTGTAATCCCACACTTGGAGAGATCGAGGTGGTTGGATCACCTGAGGTCAAGAATTCAAGACCAGCCTGGCCAACACAGAAAAACCCTGTCTCTACTAACAATACACAAATTAGTCAGGCGTGGTGGCGCTCGCCTGTAATTCCAGCTACTCGGGAGGCTGAGGCAGGGGAACTGCTTGAACCTGGGTGGTGGAGGTTGTGGTGAGCCAAGATCATGCCACTACACTCCAGCCTAGGAAATAGATCCAGACTCTGTTTCAAAAAAAGAAAAAAGAAACCACTCAAAGTGGCATTCTCTATGGATAATGTTTCCTTAATTCCAGTGATTTGATGAAATTAACCTAAAATGTAACATAATTAAAAACTCAAAAGGCTAGCAAAACCCTTTACTATGACCAAAATGAGACATTTTCAGTGATCATTTTTACTAGTGATATACACTTGTAATGAACCATCAAAGAAATATGAGTATTATACAATCAAAATTTTCTCACATCAACCTGGATATGGTGGCTGAATGAGATCTTTATCTTCTAATTCAAGATCATTAAGCAAAAAAGCATATTGAAAACCAATAAGGGATGCCATTGGCATTGATAAAAGGTCTAAGTATTCTATCCAAATGTTCACTGGATTCAATGGGAATACCAAAAGAAGTGCTGAATAGAACATCAAAGAAATACTTCTGATGCGCTCAGCATCTCAACTGTACAACCCATACAACTACCCAGTGAGAGGTAATTGTGAATAACAAAAGGGCAGTCATGACAGCACTGTACTCTCATATAGCAGCATACAGCCCAACAGGACTGACAGGAGAGGTCTGCTGGTCATTAACACATCAACCTCTCTAAATCAAAGAATGCAAACTAAAACAATAAGATGACATTTTATTTACTGCCAAATCTCAACTGACATTTATTGATTTATTAGAGATAATAACAGTTTATACTCCAAATGTCATGAAAAAATAGGTGGAAATAAAAATTTGCACAATGTATACTGACACTGCTAAGTTGTTCTAAAAGAGTGTGTAATTTTTACTTCTGAGTGTCACTCTGAAAGAAATACTGGCAAAGGGGCACAAAGATGTGTGTGCAAGGGTATTTACTGCATTTTTAATAGCAAAACTCCTGGAAAAAGTAAATTATCAAAAGCAATCAGCCCGGGCACTGTGGCTCATGCCAGTAATCCCATCACTTTGGGAGCCCAAGGTAGGCGGATCACTTGAGGTCAGGAGCTGGAGAACAGCCTGACCAACATGGTGAAATCCTGTCTACTAAAAACACAAAAATTTGCTGGGCATGGTGGCAGGCACCTATAATCCCAGCTACTTGGGAGACTGAGGCAAGAGAATCACTTGAACCCAGGAGGTGGAGGTTTCAGTGAGCTGGGATCGTGTCACCGCACTCCAGCCTGGGTGACAGAGCGAGACTTTGTCTCAAACAAACAAACAAAAAAAACCAACCAAAAAAAACACAGCAATTAAAATGATGAAATAGGTATGAATGTATTGAAAAGGGAATGAGGGGGAAAGGGTTAACAGCAAGCCTGTGGCTCACTCCTTCAGCTGCAGGGGTGTCCAATCTTTTGGCTTCCCTGGGCCACACTGGAAGAGGAGCATTGTCTTGGGCCACACATAAAATACACTAATGATAGCTGATGAGCTTTTAAAAAAAAAATCTCATAATGTTTTAAGAAAGTTTATGAATTTGTGTCAGGCTGCATTCAAAGCCGTCCTGGGTTGGATAAGCTTGGGGGATTTCCTGCATGACAGCTGACTTCCTAGCAAACATGATAAAGGTCTGTAAAAGATAAGAAAGGGTCTCTTATTTTAAAATATCAGGATAGATCTGGTCTCCCTTAATTGCCTTCTGTAAATAATCTGAGAATTTATGGATGTCTAGGGCATGGCTAGCTGGAAAACAGGAGATAATCACAGGCATTTTCTATTTGTGTAACTAAGAGAATAGAGAACTAGAGATTCCCCTTAGCAGGTTCAGTGGCTTTGGAGGCTGAGGCCACAGAATTGCTTGAACCCAGAAGTTCGAGGCTACAGTGAGCTATGATGATGCCACTGTACTCCAGCCTGGGTGACAGAGGGAGACACTGACTCTTTAAAAAAACAACGACAACAAAAACTAGAGAGTCCCAAAACAGAAAAGGCTTTCTTTAGGAAAAACATTTGTTAATCCAAAGCAAAAAATTGCATCCCGAGGTTGAATCTTACTTCTGTAAACAAATTAAGAACTACAGTAGGGCTGGGCGTGGTGGCCCTACTGTAATCCCAGCACTTTGGGAGGCCAAGGTGGGCGGATCACTTGAGATTAGGAGTTTGAGACCAGCCTGGCCAACTTGGTGAAAACCTGTTTCTACTAAAAGTATAAAAATTAGCTGGGTGTGGTGGTGGGTGCCTGAAATCCCAGCTATTCGGGAGGCTGAGGCAGGAGAATTGCTTGAACCCAGAAGGCGGAGGTTGCAGCAAGCCAAGATTGTGCCATTGCACTCCAGCCTGGGCAACAAGAGCAAAACTCCATCTCAAAAAACAAACAAACAAACAAACAAACTATAGTAAGTCTATCATAAATACATGAAGAAGTGACTTCATATCAGTCATATACAACTGTTTTCAGTATGTTGATAATATGTCTGAATGTAGAAGAAAGTGAAATTCTTTGGAAGTTGTGCCTGCTAGCTGGGGGCTCCTCCAGGAAGGAATGCTCATCTGTGTCTGGCTTCTGCCTCCAACCTCTGAATCATGAGTAAAGTTTGGAGTTGGGTAAGATTTCACATTCATATGAAGATGCTTTGACAATTCAGCCCTTTGCATTAACACAGAGAAGTCATCCAATATGCACAACTGAATGAGGAAAACAGAGTTGCAGAATGAGTGCATTATTTTCGCATTTTTGTAAGAAAAAAAATGTGTGTGTGTAGGTTTCTAGAAGAAGAGTTAAGCCAAGCATGCTGGCATGTGCCTATAATCCCAGCTACTCAGGAGGCTGAGGTGGGAGGATCACTTGAGCCCAGGAGTTCAACATCAG